CTTATACAAGGAAAGAAGATGACGTTCCAGGAATTAAAGCGAGAAGCCGAGAATAGGGACAACTGGAGAGCTCTTTTTGGGCAGAGCAATGGACCTGTCGTAAGACAGAACACATAATAATAATAATACATTATAAAATACTCTTTATGTTAGTTGATTTTCATGACTGACTGAGTATGGGCATGAATATAACTTCTTGTGTAATTCTCTATGCCTCAGAACCTCCCAAATGCTAAATGGAACCAACATGGAGGTAAATTATGCAGCTCAGAAATAAAACTTCAAATATTCCTACCTTGGTGACTGTAATGGTAATGTTTGTAAGCATGAACTTAGTAGGGGCCTGCACATCTTGACTTTCTTCCTCAAGAGTTTGAGTCTGTGACACTTGGTTTTCTTTCTCAGTTGACCTGTAGCTGAAGAATCCATTTTTAATGAAGACAACAAGTTCAGAATTGTCTTCAGGTAGAGCAGTATAATAATTTTCAAGGTCCATGTCGTATAGCTAAAACAATTTAAATTAAATAACACAGGGTTTTAATTCACTTCTGAGAGAAATTGGGTATGATTTAAGAAAAGCATGAATATATTCCAAGATGTAACCCATGTTTGTAACCAAATAATAACATATACAGCATAAAATTAAAACATCTCAAAAAAGGAAAACAAAATGTTAATTTTTAAATGAAAGAGTTTATTTTTTAAAGAAATTAGTAATGGGTATTCGCTTCTAAGCTTCCTTTCTTTTCTTTGTGCAAGGTCACAACAGCACCTAAGAGTAGTATGTCTGTAGCAAATGACAACATAAAATGCATAAGGTGCCTGATGGAGGAGTGTGATTCATCACACTATATGCTGAGTTGACTGCTGAAAAATTTAGCATTCCAGCATGGAATGTCAGATAAAATGGAATGTCAAATAACAGAAGGTTGGCCAATCGGGACTCTACTGTACTACATTTTTGGATTTTGTTCATCAAAAAGAACACGGTGTTATGAAAACTGGATCTGTATCCTGTTATCAGGTGAAACGGTGGGGTGTACCTTTTCCATCCAGAAAAGCTGTAATGGATCTAGCTCCCTATCTTAGAAAAACCAGAGATTTGAATCCCATACAAAGCAAAGTTAATTATCACATGCAGAATGTGCCAAGACACTGATCAGGGGTTAAAAGTACAAATTTGCCAGGTAGCAGAAGAACAGGTGTCATATAAAGCTTCATACCAGCCATGTTAGTTCCCTAATGGTACAGTTCCCATGGAACACAGTTTCCAGAAGGAAATAACCTATTGTGCCCAGAGGGAAGCCAAAACCAAAGGAAAATTCTAGAAACTTAATTAAAGTCATGGTGGTGTAACTCCTTAAGATCTGCTGATGCCTGGACATTTTAGTCTATGACAAGGCCATGTAGGCACTTGGGGGAAGAGGACATATAGCTCCTATTCATTCCTAACCTCATTATCATGCCCCAGCTACGCTTCACCCCCGGGAAAGGACCCCAGTACTAACTGGATAGGAGGCTGGGTGGGGCCCATAGCTGGTATAGACATAGAGGCCAAAGGAAAAATCCTCTGCCCTTGTTAGGGATCAAACCCCAGTCATACTGTCAGTAGTCAGTCACTTTTCTGACTGAGCTACCCTACCTCCCAAGACAAGGAAAGAAAAGAAAAACATCAAAGTGTTAGACTGAAGTGATAATTCAAATTCACAATCTAACTCCTAATACTTATTAGTTGTGTGTCATAGCTTATATACATTCCTATTGGCTGTGTGTTGCAGTACCAGACAGCAGAACCATTAAATCCAGGAGTTAAAATCTGGTTGGCAGCCCCATACTATGGTGTTTAAATTCCTTAATCCTACATGATAAAGGTTAAATTGTCTAGACATGACAAAAGAGACATTTTTACTGACAGAGCAATATATTTCATTCATAAAAGAGGAAGGGATAATTGGCATTATTAAAATTGTAGTTCTTATTCAACAGAGTACAGGCAAATCTTACCTCCAGTAGCCTTTGAATTCTTTTAAGGGAGACCCAAGCTTCAGTAAGGCCATTTAAAACCCAAGGGAAGGCATTCAATGGCCCAATCAACATGTTCAGCAGAGCAATACTGGTAAAAACCTGAAAACATAAAAACCTTGTAGCCTAGTAATTGAATAAAAATTCTCCTGTGCCAAAACACATAACTGACACATGAAAATTCATGGCTTTATTACTGCAACTTTTAATTGCTGAATCATATTTATAGCAGTCTGAGGTTTTGTACTCTGCAATAACTGATTTACTCTGATGGAAGGATTCAAGAAGATATTTTAACCTGAATATGGGGTATTCTGAACATGGAGAAACTTAAATGCAACATAGAATTCTCACTGTTTTTAATCCACTTAGTCTGAAAAAGTATATTCTTACAGTGTCACATACATAAGAATGTTTCATGTGATTCCTTTGTTTTGGTTTAGCTTGGGCCACAACACAAAATAAATATGCACTTATAACATTATTTTCTTCCTAATGCTACCAATTATATAGTATGGACTTTTCTCATCCTGTCCTCTTCTCCTTCACTCAATTTCTTTCTTCCATCTTCATCTACAGTAAGGAGCAATGATGCTTCATGTACTGACACCTACTCATGTCATACCTTGTTTCAATCAACAAGGCTTGAAAGATAGTCACAGAAGAATAATTATGTAACTACTGCTGGCACACAAAGCCTGTCAAGAGGCACTGAAGGCAGCAGTGACCCTGCAACATGCTGCCCAGCAACACATTAGTAAGACTTTTCTTTTAAGGTCAGATACAAATATGGGGTTATTATTTTGTTTTAGGACCCCCCAGTGCACTGCTCTGCTCCAGGCAGCTCTTGCTCTCTTTCTGCAAATGTGGTATTAAAAAAAACTTTGAGCCAAACTTGCCAGGACAGAGGAGGTGTTAACAGCTTAGTTTTGTGAGTGCCAGTGAAATGTAAAGTACTGAATTCACACAAGCTGCTGGACCCATGAGGGCAACACTGGTCATGGACCTTCTTACCTTTTAGGACAGTCACCTGTCAATACAAGCCAGTTCCAGACAATAGCAGCATCAACACCCTACCAGCTAGATCATCACAGGAGATAGTTTGGCCAAAGCACTAAATTTGAGCTGCAGTATAACCATGGCCACAGACATTCTGTTTCACAGAAGTGCTTGTGTGACACTACACACTGAGTGATGAGTAATAAGATTAAGAAAGATGGGAAGTGTTAGATACTATTAAAAGGGATAGCTGCGGGGAAATGCGTGGGAGCTAGCTAATGGAACGACTAAGCCAGGATTGGAGTACTCTTATACATATTTCCATACTTCTGTAACTGTGTAGATGTTGTACATAAATGATATAGTAATGAGTGTTAATGTTCATGTGCTGTATGAGTTCCAATACTTCATCCTAAATTCATGTCCATGACTCTACAATACCAGTAAGTGAGAGTCAAACTGCTACCTCAAGGTCACTGGTGGCAGCCTACCAACAGCAGAAACAGTGAAGGGAACCTATAAGTAAATTAGTAATTGGTGCCAGTAGCAATCGGTTAGGTTCCTGCTGCATCTATCACAAGTGGTTGAGTTATTCAAGCTTGAAGCTCCCTTATGGCCCAAACAATTACATGCACCACTGCGAAATCCTATTAAAATTAACTGTACAGTCTTTCTTCCTCTGTTATCCCTGCAAAAGCCTGTTCAAAGTCAAATTAATATAAAGAATAAGGCCAATTACTCAGTAATTTTGCAGCAGTTCTTGGTGAGGAGACCAAAACATCACCTTGCTGGACTAATCTTGCCACTTATTTTCTTGGCAAATGCTCCAAATTTACACCAATATCATGAAGTTTTTCTTCAATTAGTGTGTGGCATCTTACATTTATTTTCTTATCCAGCACCAAACCTGCAGTTTTAAATTTCTTACTTAAATAATAAATGGCAGACTGTGCAATAATATCACATCAGGATATTTTTGTTGAAATTCTCTACAACATACACAGGCTGAACAACATTTTACATAAACGTCATAGAATAAAATTCACTGCTCCAATCTATACTAATGTACCATCATGAACAATAACTGGCACTAAGTCTGGACATGTCACTAATAACAGAGTAGCTAGAAAGCCCACATCTGATGAAGTGTTTGATGGGCAGCAGCATTGCATCTTATGGTCCAAATACAAAACAATAACCCAACAGGAGAAGCAATCTGATCTACAAATTCTTTAAAATCAGAATTTATTAACCCTTTAGTGTCATCTGCAGAAGTCCCAACATACATATGAGAAAAATATTGTTAAATTCTTGTTGATTTTTTAAATCTGAATTTGAATTAAATGTGATGAAATTTGATTATTCGCAAACAAAGTATTTCTACTTCCCAACTCTGCCATGGGAAGGTGTTGTGTTTAGCAATCTAAAATTTCAGCTAGAGGACTGAGCTGATCAATGCAAGCAACTAACACATTTTTTAACAGACAATCACTATTGGCAGTATAAGAGTTAAAAAACAACAACTTACAGTTGCAGCAGTGAGTTTGTTGCCAAGAAGAACATAAGTAACAAAGGTGAAAATGGAGATGAGAACAGGAGTAGTAGCCCAGAAATACACACACAATGCATCAAGGTACTTTCGACCGCGCAGGTACTTCAGTTCCAACTCACGCAGCTCTGAGAAAGGTAAGCAAATGCAAACAAAATAACCCTGTCACTGCCACTGACAAGTTTTATACAATTTTAGTAGTCAGGCTAAAAGTTTTTATTAATATGTGTGCTTTTGTTTGTTCAACAGAAGGCATTCATTAGACAAGATCTGGAAGATAAACACTAATGAAAGTAGTTTCTCAAGTGTGCCTGGAGGAATCAAGTATTGTAATGCTGATAAGCACTGTGTCATATCAAACTCACTTCCAATTTTGTCAACAAAGTGGTCTTCCCACACATGAAATTTGATCACACGGATTCCACGCAGAATTTCAGCCATAACTTTCACTCGCCCATCTTTCTGTAACATCAGTTTTGTACTCAGCTCACCTGAAAATTTAAAAAAGTTCCTATTAATTTTTCTTAATATACAATTAACTTCAAAAAGTGGAAATATAAACAATTGTTGCTGCATTAAAAGTCAAACTAAAGAAATGTTTACTGGAATTTTAACACATTTATTGTATGTATAAAGTGAAGCTATCGTGGCAACCGAAGTTGATGAAAGACTCTGGTTTATGGTTTATTCACCATTTAGCCACCTGTTGCGGCTTGTAGCCCAATAGTTTTTCATCAACATTTATTGTAATTTTATTTTATAATGTAAATAACATAAGAATCTGACAGGATTAGAAACAATAAATTTAATGAGACTCGAACAGCTGAACATACAAGACAGCAAATTTAGTTTATTTTACTACTGCATCAAAATCTGTGCCTGTTAAATCAAGCACCCATTAAAAAGTTTGTCTTTAAAATGCCTTCAGCCAATACTGCAGAAACATACTTTCCTCTAGCAAGTCACCAGAAACCAATGGCCACAGCCTAATGTATTTTTTATATTTATAAATAATTTTCATGTTGAAACTGAAGCAATGCTGGGAAAAATATACATCTTTTGTAGGAATAAACGTAACTGTGCTGCAAGACCAAGTGGGAGTGTAGTTTGTTAAGTAGCTAGTATAATTTCACAACCTATGCCAAAGTTGACACAGCACAAAATTAAATGTTTCCATTTAAAACCTTTGGAAATATCCAGGCACTGTATACTATTACAGCCTGTAAAATTTACAAATACACTGTATCAAAACATTCCAGCTAAAATAAAAATCTTACCTATTTTTGAAGCTATGTACTTATTAATTGGAATCAAAATAATAGTAAAAGTAGCACCAGCAAGAAACGCTAGGCCAACTTGTGTGTATAACAGGTAAAATGACACACCAATCTGAAACATAAGGTGGAAATACATCTTTTGGCATAACACCAATTAAATGCACTAAATTTGTAACACATTTGTTACACTTAATTTACTTCACTCACTGTCATTTTGTTACTTCAATTTCTGTCGTCTCACATGTACTTTACTGCTTACTGTTTTTGACGATGAAGTTAAACGTGATCATAATGACAATGATTTAAAATGGTGCATCTATAATAACTGCAGTCTGTAAAACTGTGGGGATTTTTAAATTTTTATTTCAATGTTGTTCACATGCTAATGACATTCAATGTCACAGAATATTTCAGTCTTCATAGCAGTAGATACTAACACATACATGTTAACTCCATATATATATAATAATTATCTTATGTCATCAGGGTGAATAATAAGAATGCACACACTGGAAAAACAACACATTCATACAAAATGTATGCTGGTAGCCATTTGCAAGATGAATCAAGAACATATAGAAACTTCATCTGGATACTGTGTACTGGTGGATTCGGGGACAATAATAAATATAACTGCCTTGATGTGTTATCTGAATTCAACACCCTCATGGATATCATGAACATAGTAATGAATCTTCAGGTTCTCCCACAGTTTGGAAACTTCCTCCCACAACATTCTATATAAAGTATGCAAATGATGAAGCATTCTTAAATTAACTAAAACTCAATTTTACATATGTCTGTTCCAAAAGTCAAGACAAGTAAATAGTTCCTGTTACATTAAGACACAAAACATTAAAAAATTAAAAAGTACACATTCAAGCATTAAATAAGCATAAAAAATTAGTATCTTTGTTAATATTTGTTTTCAACCAGCTAAGAACGTGGCAGCAGTGAAATAACTATTAATAAATCATTACAGTTCCTGAAATGCCCTTTTATTTTAGGTGCTTTGTCAAATTTTGTAAAATTAGGAAAACAAGATATACACTTAATAGCGATGCACTGGTGCTACAGTTGTAATGTACATGAACACCAGAACTTGGCTCCAAAAACCTTCAAGTTCCAGTTTTCCTGACATGACTTCATCATGAAAAGGGAACAGCTTTTTAAGGCACAACAAAAAGCCACCATTTAATTTTTAAAAAAATATTCTGCCAAGAGAGGAAAGTTAAAGTAGGTATGCTGGAGAGGATAAAATTGGAAAGGAGAGGCTGATGACAATGTAAGATATGAGGATGAAGAGGAGAGATGACAAGGAGACTAATAATAATAGGGAGCAATGGGTAGATAAGGAGGTACAGGGATGAAGTGGATATAAGAGAAAGGGTGAAAGAGGGTAAATGCAGGCAAGGAGGAAGGTAAAGAAAGAAATGGTAAAGCATGGCAGGAAACAAGGAATGACTAAACCACAAATGCATGCATACAAGCAAGAGTAAGGCATAAGAGAGTGTGCAATTCAAAGGCATAACAAAATAGCCACTAGAAAAGTAAAATCTTAAGGTTGAAAAAGGTAATTTACTAGCTTGCCTTAATAACCATAAGTAAAAGACTAAGCCAAAATTTGCTTTACATACGGGTACCAACACATATTTTTGCGCTAGTGAACAGGTAAACTTCCTAACATACTGTACATGAGAGTTAAGTAAGTACCTATGATGTATGCAGCCTGGGAAGTCACACACTACATTACTAGTAGACTGAAAAACATTGTGCGTGTTCTAATTTCATGTGAATTTTACAGTTAATACTTAAAACACTGAAACTATTATAAAATATAAAATGTGAGTGTTACTCCCACGCATCGTTGAAGTTCACAGGCACAGATGATGCAAACATGGCTCACCATAGACCAGCAATGGCCTTGAGACCAGTGGACTAACAGCCAAATGCCGAATACACCAACTCCTGTGTAACCAACAGCCAGTACAGTGTTACTATATATGGTTTTGTAAAGAACTTACCTTTATGCTCTGCTAAAACATGATCTTTTGATTTATAATATGAATTAACTTCTTTTGTGCCACTGATGATGACCTCTTGAGGTCGAAAAGCGTTTGGCATTAATATTCTGCACAGTGTAAACAGCTGTTTGTATGCACATTTTATATTCCCATACACTACATGGTATGCAAGGTTTTAATATTATTACAAAATAGTAATATTAATAACAAAACAGATAAATGAATAACAATACTACAAACAGCACAGCACAGCAGCAGGAAGTAAAGACACATGTGAGAAATACCTTCATATTAAAGACTTATGTTCTGCACTCATAAATAAGGGGGTTACACATGTGCACAACATCATGTGCCTACCAGGCTGGCTATGTCACAGATATTTACTAAACTCTGGCATATGGTACACTCAATTTTTGTTTCTTTTAATGCTGTAAGAACACTGCAATTAATCAAAGGGTATAAAAGGGAAAACAGTACTGGTATATTGAGGGATACTATACAATATCTCAGAAAACCAACAAAATATGTATGCCAAAACAGGTACGAGAGTACCCGGACTTAATATAGTGGAACAAGAAACAGTCTGTTATTATGTATGTATCACATATGCCAGTTGCACACTTTACTGGTAGTTTCTCCTGAAGTAACATACCTGAAATGGAATACTCCAGAAGGAATGGAAACTAGGGCATGAGTTTACGATCCGATCAGTATCTGTGCTCATGAAGTTCACAATCTCACCAATACTGTGCAATAAAGTAAAGATCACATTAATAAAAAATATATGAAGTAATCAAAGACATAAAGTACATACAGTAAAAGAAACTCAAATATTCAAAGACACTATTGTGCATACCTTTCAATTTAACAATTGAGAAACCTAAGATTTTTGTCTTCTGGGTTGTTGCGCTGTGTAGTCTGGTCAATGTTTACCAACATTTCTGAGGTCATACTGCCTCCGTCATCAGGGCAATGAATATTCCAATAGTGTGTGTGGAGTTAGGTTTATGGGTGCCAGAATGTGAATGGAGTAGCCTGCCCCGAGCCAATGGGAGCACGCATGGGAGTGGACCAATAGGAGCGCGTGGGCGAGTGTGTGAGAGAGAGAGAAAGGTGGAGTTCGGTTGAATGGATCGGGGCCCTGAAAAGGGCCTTGTTAGTGATCTGGTTGTTTCTGGTGGTGCACTCTTGCTCGCTTTTATAGACTAAAATATTTCACAGATGATTAAATAAAAGTTACCCGTGTTGCACCATGTAGTCTGGCAGATACTGACTAACATTTCAGAAAACATTACTGTCTAATGATAATGGCAGCAAGCTCTGCTGAAATATTAGTCAATATCTACTAGATTGGTGCAACATCCCAGAAGGCAGCCATTTTCATGGTCATCACCAAGAGAACATCAAATCTCACCAAAATGTTACACAGTTAAAGAAACAAATCTTTCTATATAAAAATACAAGCGGATTTCCGTATGGAAGTGCCAGGACTCAGTTTGCATAAGAGAATTTCTCTTAATTATAGCATTAATATCAACTCTACATAGTGGATAGGCAACAATATGGTTGTGTTTTGCTTGCTGCCTATCACAACATAAGAAAGAGTGAAAGTTCTGAGCATATGGATGTGAGGACAGTGATAAAGATCTATGCACTGACAGAAAAGAAAAGCCACAAGTGCTGTATCTGCCTTATTCGCAGTGATTACTATCTGTACAGTTGTGAGAAGGAACCACTTAATGGATAACTGTTTGCACATGCAGTCTATTGACAAAATTATCACAATACCATTATGTCATATAAGGACAGACAATTACAGCAATGTAAAAGATTCTTTGCTTTGCCAATGAGATCAGCACATTGACTTGTGGCAATACAATGGTAGGGACAGATGTAATTACGCTGTTACAAATTGTTTATATTAATTTGTTAAATGTGAAGCATGTACAGATCACATAAAGTAAACTTCTCAAAATCCCACACATCAGTGACAAACTTTACATTCAGAACATGATCACATTGATGATCTGGTATAAAAACAAATAGCAAGTGATCCTTTATAGCTGACCTGAATTTTGATAGTTCAATACTGCTGAGAGTAAGGGTCTTCCTGTATATTGTTGTCACCAGTGCTCCTCGTATCTTGAGGCCCACTTCTTGCATAAAGAAGTTGAAATGAGCATCACACAGTGCCACTACATGAAGTAGAAAATTTCCATACATTATTAAAAATGTACATTCAATTAAGTTACTTAGTATCAACAACAATAATTCAGTATTTTCTCATCACACACACACATATATGCAGATGTACACACAATGTGTCCTTAAAGGTGAAATTCTGTTTTAAGTTTTGATATTTTGTAGGAATTAGTACTACAAACATGAAACAAAAGACAAATTGTGGAAGACCATTTCTCATTGTGACAATGTGAGACACTGATTGCTCTCATTGTTATTTAAATTCTTGCCACACCCAAATGAAAATGTAATGAGCTACAAACTTGACAGTGTCTCTCATTCTTTGTTTCAAAGTCTGTGTCAATGGTTAAAAATTAACTAAGCAAGTAATAAGTAATTCATGCTTGCCTCCATAATCAACCCTGTTTAATAGAATTCATTTAGGAAATTTGGATGGAGGAAAACATGGCAAGTATTCATTTTGATGAGGAATCCTCTGAAAAGCAGGAACAAAGAAAAATGTAAAGGCTGGTTTTATGTCTTATCTTTGTTTTCTACTAATAAAATCTTCTTGGGCCATCAGTTGTATCAGGTGATTAAAACTTGTAATCATTTTGAGGACCATCCCTGTCCTCGTCCTCAGGGCTACCCATTCCATCTGTTCTAAGTGACTGACATATATACCTACCCTTCACTCACGCATGGATGTGAGTGAGAGCCAATGGAGTAGCTAGTGGGCACAGTCAATTGCTAACTTCACTTAAGCCTGTCTTTCAATTGGTAGATTTATAAATTGTTTGATCATGATGATCACTGGATCCCAGGAACGAGCAAGCATGAAGCCTCCTTCCCTGTTAATGTTCCTGGGATGAAGATTGATCTCAATAGCCCCTTTATCATGTTGTCCACATATCCTGTGGCCTTATCCAGGACAAAGGTACTGCCAAAGTTGATGCTATGTCCTGTGTTAAATCTGTGCTCTGCCACCTTGGACTTTTCTGGCTGGCCTAAACATATGTGTCGCATGAGTACCTTACACCTGGTTTCAATGGTTCTGCCCATTTGTCTGATGTAAATTTTACTGCACTCACATGTCACACGGTAAATTCCTGCAACTTTAAGGCCTAACTTGTCTTTAACTGGTTTCAGCATATGAATATTTTTCTGTTTTTGTCTTCTATGCTGTGTTCACATTTTTAAATCAAACATGTGACAATCTTATATTTAACAATAATTTTAATTTAATAACTCACCTATTAAAGTGACAGCACACAGACCAGCAGCATACAAATACCCTTCAAGCAATGACTCTGACTTTGTCTCTATGAACGTCACTAACTTATTGAGGAGCAGAGGCCCCATGAAGCCTGTGACATCTGACATAAACTTTAGGACACCAATGCTGTAGAACTGAATACCAAAGCAAGTGTGAAGAGCTCGGAGAAGTGAAACTGGTTTCTGTGATTCTGCTCTCCTCCACGTCACATCTGGTATCTCGTGTTCACTTTCTGTTATGCCATTAACATTTACAGCAGTATCTGTAAAAATCAGAAACATAATCTCTAAAGATGGAAAAAATTCACCCTGCAAAAGCCAACTACATTTCTTACCAACATGAAGGTTCAACAATGCAAACGCCAAAGCCACATTAAACTGGTCCTGATCCTGAGCTACTTCCACATCAAAAAATAAATTTTAATACTATCCTCCTCTCTTCATGTCATCAATGTGGTCACATTCCATAACATTCAACATTTACCAACGTTTATCATCACCCTGATGATGGAGCCAGCAAGGACTTCTGAAACATTGGTAAACTTCTGCCAGACTACATGGCACAACAACCCAAAAGACAGCCATCTTTAGAATAAGTTCTGGACCAGTTAAGCATAGTGTCAGCTTCTCAGGAAGGACTCTGCTCCATGGAGTTACTTACTTTCTGTATATTATGTATTTTATTACTTAATCCTTGCAGATTAATTACAGGAGACTTACAGGAATATATCTATATAGTAAGAACACTGACCTGAATCTGAATAGTGCTTCTTAGTTACTGAAGTCATAACCATTGCCATCTCCAGTTGAGAACATAAATATGCAGGAGTCAAATTGACTGGAAGATCATATAAATCTTCAGAATTTTCCAGCTTCTTCTTAGCACCCTTCTCCATCAGAGGTGTAACCCAGTGGAATAGCAATTTAGAACAAAATGGAGCATTTTCCATTGCAGTACCAAGATACAAAGGGTCTCTCTCCTCCCTGAAACGACTGTATGTACCCAGTCTAGGGGATCCTAGAATATAGTTTCAATCTATTAGATAATACAAATTTCATAGCTACAATATAGTTCTAAAATCTGCATGAGTTTCTGCACTGTCCCTAATTATACTCCTAAGATGAAGAAGGTATCATATTTATTCTAACACACAAGTACTGTAAACATAATTTCTGCATATGTATTTATTTCAGTATATTTCACAGCTATGAACATAAAACTGATAAGAATTAATATTATAGTAGGAACAACATCACAATTTCAACACAATATAAACTAAACATGAGATCCATAATAAGCATAACCCATAACAAAGAAACACAAGCAAAACAAGTTAAAGAAGGCAAACAGAATGGGCTCAATATGGTTCAATAGCTGATTTCACTTTCTAAACATAACCTCACAAGTTAAAGGAAAAATATATATTAATTACCCTCTAAATGTGTTTGTTGGACTTCCCTGTATCTGAATGGCCCTGATACATGGTCTTGAAGAACAATAAATCATACAAGCATATAACAGTAACCACCCCTATTTTTGAAAACTGTTGCTGTCAACTCAGCTGAAAATTGAACGTTGACAGAGAAACATCTAAGAAAGACATTACTTTAAAGGCTGAGAATAAGGAAAAAGAATAACATTAAATTGGATCTCATGGAAACTGTTTGTGATTATGTAGATCGGATTGAAATAACTCAGGATGGGTTATGGAATCAGTGGTACTGAAATTTCACACTCTAGTGCCATCCTGTTAGTCCATCTCCCTCCCCATAAATGTCAGCTATAACCCCTCTACACCTAAAAATGGCTTACACAGTACAGAAACAGCCTCAGTTAGGTTGTAAAGCCACTGAATAGAATGAAACAATCTCACTGTAACAAATATGTACCAGAACTATAATTTTATATCTTACCAAGTAAACTCTGGCTCTCAGAATTGTGAAAATGCTGATCAAATCCTTCATATCTGCCAACATCCCACGATCTCTCACTCGGAAATAAGGTGATCATATAAACACACTGGAGAACTAGGTCTGCAATACTGAAGCCACTGGAGATATATATAAATCTGAATAAATCAGGCATAGGAATACTTTGCAATAATAATATATGGGAATGCACAGAAATTGCAGACAGGGCAAAATTCAAAGCCCACACTATACGAATAGAAAAAGGTCCTCGCAATGAAACCCCTAAACGGTGCCTCAAAGCTAGGATAAATCCAAGATGCACAAGCCAAGTTACTCCTTCAACAGCAGCCAAGAGATAATCCACTGGCTGCAAAGAACCTGGACTTAATGCTATTGCAGTGCAGATTCTTGCTACAGTAGCCACCGCCATGAGGACAGTTGCTATAGCTCGCAGTCCTAATATCTGTAACTGTCTGCGGCTACGAACAATCCAATGAGTCTGTCTGCCACAGTAATACGCAGAAATTGTTGCCATCAAAATAAATACAGGCACTTGTAGACACAGTTCTTGAAAACAGATTCCAATATCATGGGTGCCCACAGACCACAATGTCAATCCACCAGGACCACACATGTCTTCCCAGTTCCAATAAAGCCAGAAACTGCTTGAAGCTGCCATTTTAAATTAACAATTACCTGGAAAAAGCCAAGAAATAAACAATAGTATGGCTTCAAAAGTATGACTAGCACAGACCTCATACATACATACATACATACATACATACATACATACATACATACATACATACAAATTAAACAGAAAGATGGTTGTAGGATTTGAGGTTTCCATGGCGGTGAATCTGAAGATGGCTGAATTCTGGGTTGTTGCGCCATGTAGTCTGGTAGAAGTTTACCAACATTTCAGAGGTCCTTGCTGCCTCCATCATCAGGGTGATGCCATCGCAGACTACATGGCGCAACAACCCAGAAGACAGCCACCTTCACAATGATGGTTGATGAACTGACTGATTGATCAATCCTTCAGTCATTTAGCAACACTTTTTCAGCTGTACAGATTGTGTAGGATAAAAAAATATATGACAAGCTGGAAACAACCTGGAAAAAGGTAATAATTTTATGCACTACCCCAACACTTCTCTGGAAGGACTGAGTAAAACCACAACTTTTTGGTCTCCAGATAAAGATCTGAATCTATGGCATCCCAGATATGAAGCAAGAATGCTAATTACCTGATGTGACATTCAGTGAGAACAATAGTAACATAACTGTTGGTTATAGTAATGTCCAACTTTCATTAACTACCAAAGAAAATCGAAATAACATGATCATAAACAGAATTTTAGAAATGCAACACAAACTGAATTTCCACTCAAAGAATGTTACTAGTTTTCCCAAATGTACTAATATGTACATAATCTTAATAACTGTATCACATTAGTAAGACATACCATACAGAGCAGTGTTACAAAATCAACTCAACAGATACAACAGCTACTCCAATCCGCAATAATTCCTGTCAAGAAAAGACAAGTAAAGCCATGGTTTAATGCGCACTGTTACAGAAAAAGACGGATTGCTCTACAAGCCTTACTCCAAGCAAAACTGTCAGGACTCTCCCAAGACTTAGCGACATACTTGATGGCAAGGAAACAGTACAAAATCCTTCTTCAGGATAAAAGGAACACTTATATGGAGAATGAAGGACTGAAACTAGCAGCAGCAGCCGTCATTGACCTTTTCGTGGCACTGAGACAAAGGAAAGTACCAATACCGTCCACCATCCAGATGGAGACTTGGCAAACACACTTCACAGACATTCTGAACCCGACTGGAGAAAATCGAGCCTACCCCACACTGCCACCACCATCAACAAGGACATACATACCAATCTCCACAAAAGAGATTACTGAAACAGTAGCAGATCTCAAAAGAAACAAGGCAGCTGGGCCAGATGGTATCTTCAATGAGCACATCATAGTCTCCTGCCTGCTACTCATAGAAACTTGGGAAGGCCTCTTCAACCAGTGCCTGAAACTTGATGAGCTGCCAGATCCCTGGAGAGTGTCAAATATCAAAATGGTATACAAAGGCAAGGGTGCCACTGACGACCCCAACTCGTACAGGGGGGATAGCCCTAGAAAATAGCTCATTAAAACTGCTGACAACCATACTAACAAAAATAATCACAAAGATAGCCGACCCACAAATCCCTCAACAGCTGTTTGGGTTTAGAAGAGGCCGCTCCTGCC